ATTCCTGTCCGGACGATGTCGCGCATCATTAAACAAGACCTAGGGCTAGGGGCTTACCGGAGACGTACGGGCCAGCGACTTACGGCCACCTTGCGACACATCAGGGCGACAAGATCCAAGAAGCTCTTGGAGAGGTACGCAGCTGGGGGATTCCGAAAGATTTTGTTCACGGATGAGAAAATCTTCACCATAGAAGAAAAATTCAACCGACAAAATGACAAAGTGTATGCAAGGAGTTCACAGGAAGCTTCGGAGATCATTCCGAGAGTTGAGAGAGGCCACCACCCTGCGTCAGTCATGGTTTGGTGGGGGGTGTCCTACGAAGGGGTCACTCAGCTCCATTTCTGTAAACAGGGCGTGAAAACAAAAGCGGCAAACTATCAGAGCGACATACTGGATCCTATCGTCAAGCCTTTAAGTGGTACATTGTTTGCCAACCAACACTGGGTCTACCAGCAGGATTCCGCCCCCGCTCACAAGGCTAAGAGTACGCAGCGCTGGCTGGAAAGCAATGTGCCAGAGTTCATTGCTGCGGAAGATTGGCCCTCAGGGAGTCCGGACCTCAATCCTTTAGACTACAAGTTGTGGGACCTGCTAGAGCAGTTGGCCTGCTCCAAAGCCCACCGTAATATCGAGTCCCTGAAAGCGGATTTGATCCGATCAGCGGCAGCTATTCCTTTGGAAGCTGTGCGTGCAGTGATAGATGAGTGGCCCGCGAGATTGAAGCAGTGTGTGAAGGCCAAGGGGGGACATTTTGAATAAAACTGTTTGATTATGAATTCTAAAAATGTTGTCGAATAAATAATATCTTTCATATAAATATATCTTACCTTGTTTCATTTTTATCATGAGATTATCATGGGACAGAACTTATGGCACGACTATGTATACATACAAAAATGAAAAGTATTATTAATTATTATTATTATTAAAAAAAATAAATATGTACTTACGATGAGTACTCGAGGAAGTGCATACTCACGTGTTCGTTCTTATAACCCAAAATATACATATTTCAAAATTACTCACCACTTGTATAATTTAAATCTCTGGCTATCGTCTCCCACAACTCATTTTTCAATTTTGTTCTCATATAATCCTCATGTGAAGTGTCATACAACACAGGATTCTCCCGAACGAGTTCGATCAATTTCTCCATTTTGTATTGAAAAACGTAAACAAAGTGACCCACGATTCCACGAAACTGTGTTGCTCGCACAAATCAAACCACGTGGGAATAGGCTGGGACTGTGCTAGGCGTGGGATGGGTGCAATATGCGTCAGTTCGTCTACAACAGTGTTTTACAAAATCACCCACGCGTGGGCTGTGCGTGTGCTACGCGTGGCATGGGTTCAATATGCGCCGGGCCTTAGTCAGGCACTTTTCCACCACCCAATCTATTTTGGGCATTTACGTAAACATTAGAACATCAGAAAAAACGTACCACAAGTTTATCACAAAAAAAGAAAAGAAACAAATAGACAGATCATCCTACCTCAAAGCAACTTAAAATAAACGCAACAGATCATTTTAAACGAAACATTAAACTTTTTATTATTTTCAATATTCCTGATATTAGAAGGAATCAAATTGTAAAATTTAGGTGCAAGATATAATTATGGGACACATAATTTGTATTTAATTTCACATTTGCATGTACAAAAAAAAAAACTACATATACTGCAAGGATATATTTATAAGATTTTAATATTGTTAATTTCTTGCATAGTGGAATATAATCTAGGTTCTTTTTAGAATAATCCTTACAATATGGTTCTGCACCACTTTTAGCTGCCCAAGATTTGAACCGTACATCCCACCCCACACAAATATTCCATATACCAAAAGGGGCTCCACAAGTGATTTGTAAATCATCAATATTAGTTTAAGGTTCAGTATATTACGAAGAGTGTAGAATTTATGGATGAAAAACATTTTTTTTTCTCAAGTACAGCACATGCTGGTCCAACTTCAAGTGCTGATCAACAACAACTTAAAAATATTTAATTTCATTTACTTCTTTCAAAGGCTCATCTATATTATCAGGCGTAATTTGATTAAATGCTGGTCTATTAGTCATTGTTATGGAGAAGGCAATTTAATGAGTTTTTTTATATTCAAAGTTAATTTAAATGTGTCTAGAAGGTTCTCAAGCATTATAATGACGTTTTAGGTCTTTTTGTTATTTTAAACAATAACAATAGGGGCCGTTGCCTTTGGCTTGTACGACTTTTTTTGAAGTACATTTTTCTGCTAGAAACGCTTCATTAATATGGTGTCCATGCTGAGGCTGACAACATCGCTAATTCTACTCAATCCAACGAATAGTTTTTTACTCTTGGATTTGTCTAAGTATGGTATATTGTCAAACTAACACCTCTAAGTCAAATCATATATAAGAAAGCTGATACATTTTTTAACGGAAAGGTGCTACTGCTTCAGTTCATCGAAAATATTGGTCAATTATACATTGACACATCTCCTTTCAGAATAAAACAATCTGGTAAATAATGTTTTAATCAATTACGCTGATTAACGCTTTCGACAACACGTGACAATAAAAAAAACATGTTATATGCATAAGAATCACTTTGCATACATACATACATATATTATATACTTATTTTTTGTAAATATTCAAAATTCCCGTAAAATACGCTCACATACTATATCAAATACCAAAAAGCCGACGAAGATATATACCGAATATAAAAAAAACCCAAAAGCTTAAAAATTTTGAGATTTTTCAAAAATTGTCTCATTAAAAATTGTTTAAAATAATGTAGAAATTAATATTATGTAATTAGAATGAGTAGCTGGTACAAGGTTCAGCTGTAATAACATTAATGTTAATATTGTAAAATTATTATTATTGTAATGGCGAATAAACATTCATTCATTAAAAATCCTCCATTTTTTTATCAAAAGATTATTTTGTCGAAATAGTTTATTATATCTAATATTACGTATTGTTTTGGCTTTGTTAAAAAACAAAACGTCCTCCTCCTCACTTACATTGGGGCTTACTGAACGGATTTCAGCACCCCGAGCAGCGTTGCCAGATTCGTCGCAGGGAATTATCGTACAAACACGTCAAAATCATCGTACATTATCCTTAGGTTCTCTCAGGATTCATGATGAAGGAAAATTTCCGTCTCGGGAGGGGGGGCCCTTTTGTTTCCCACTCTTTCCTATAAGCTTGCTGTCTATGTTTGGCTTTCTTCAAAGATTCCGCTCCTTTTTTTTATTTTCTGTATTCGAGAATATCGCATCTTCTGTTGTGGTTCTCTCTTCCAGAGCAACTTGATTCGGAATCCGACATATTACCTGATCTAACCAAAAGGCTCAGCTCTGAAGGATATTTGCAGAACATAACATTTGTAAGCTTTTATATGGACAATAACTAATCATGATTTGTATTGCTTTTTGTCCAAGTTAGTTTTCATACTTCGTTTTAAATCAGCTATTCATCAGCTTCATTCTGTCAATGTTCGTTCGAAACAGAATATTTCTGCTCCATTCCATCGAACATGTTTTTTCGAACGTGGCTTCTCTTACAACATCTATAAATTATACAACTCCATCCCCCAGCAAATCAAAAATATGAAAGGTTGCAAATTCAAGGCAGCTCTGAGACGATTCCTTTTAGATAAGTATAATTAACTTCACTGATAATACTGTAACATTTAGTTTTTTTGGATGAATCTCATGATTATATGATGGAATATTTTCAGTTTTATATTTTCAGTGTTATTTGTTTTTTTGTACTCATGCTTTTTTTTCTGCTCTCATATAGTTAGTAGTAGGCATGTAACAGTTGATATCACTATTTTAAAATAGAGCAAGGGATGAGTGGAAGAGCACGCAGGTCGTGAACTCCCCTTGAGATTCGAGAGCAATTATTCCTATTTGTTGAACACTATTTTTGTATGCAGTGTCTCTTCGAATAAAGCCATTTATTATTATTATTATTATTATTATTATTATTATTATTATTATTATTATTGTCAGAGCAGTAGGGTTGATATGTAAAGCTCACTATAATTTTAATGAAATCAAAGCCAAGTATTGTTATTGAACAATAACATGGGTGCCCTCAGGGGGCTGTGGTAACAGTTATCTCTTGATGATCAGCACATCCGAGAAAAATTCCTGTGGGTACCCGTGGACAATCATATTATTGTTCTAATAAAAAAAGAAATGTGAATTGTAGTAACATGTCAACACAATTCGATTTTTTCTAATTTTTGATTTATGCAGGTGCCAACAAAGGCTGAGGAATGTAAACATCTGGTCCATAATGATGTTAATACTGATTTGTTTGTATAAAAATGTATGAGATTTACATAACAAATATATATTTAGGTATTTGCAGTATATCTTTTTCTTGTGTACCTTTCCAGATTAGTAAGTAGATATGAGTGATCTTATAACAGCATGTGTTATTGACGTTGCTATTTTTACTTCAAAAATAACATTTATTCGTCAAGATAGCGCAAAATGTTAATAACACATGCTGTTATAAGATCTCCCATGTAGAGCTGGCAATGCTGCGGGATATTAATTCACAATCTGGCAACCATGTCGCACCCTCAAAAAATGGCCCCTGACAACCATACAAGTCACCGTGTTACCATTGAATAGCATGGAATTAAACCTTCTTCTGTGTATATGTTTTGTGGTTCTGTGACAAAATTCAAACCATGTTTGCCTGACGTTTGTTATTTGTGTAAATTTGACTTTGGTGTGTAAAAAAAAATAGGAAAACGATTTTAAGCATCCATCAACGTTATTCCAGAGCTAAAAAGAACATCGCTGCTTGAATTGATTTGTTTTTACAATACGCATGGGAGAAAATAGTCCTGAAGATTTGATCAACATGGTAAGCCTCGTAACGTCTTTTCTGTTTCCCTGTTTACATGTTTGCCACTCTGATTAGGAGGATAAAATGAGCGATAAAGAATCGGCGCAACAAGATCTCGAGTCGGCCGTGCCAGAAATGTCGCCGCAAGAATTGGAAAAGAAAGAAGAGGAAAAGCTTAAAGCAAAGTATTCTGTTCCTACCCTTAATGGAAGAATCGCAGGAGGCCATTCCGCGTTCCTCCAGAAGCGCTTAGCCAAGGGACAGAAATATTTTGATTCTGGAGACTATCAGATGGCCAAGCAGAAAATGGGTAGTGTCTTGGCACAACCATCTGCAAAAACAATGCCTTTGGGAGCTACAGGTAATATAAACAATAGATTATGTGACATCTGAAAGTTAACCTGTGGTTTACATATCGATAATTCCCCATGCTTGTTTGACCAATAAAACCACATGTATTGACAGATCTTCACTGATAATGAAAAGGGAAATCAAATGAACATCACTTGGAAGACGGATAAATAAAAAATGTGTCATTGTACTCTTCATATTATACAATGCTCACTATTTAACAATGGCCATGGAGGTAGCTATACCTCAAGATCAAAATTATCAAATACTTTAAAAAAGTGTATAATCTGAAATTTGTAAGAAGTAAAGTATATTTAGATGGATGAACTGTAGAAGCACTATAAATATGGTGCAGTAGAAAATGATGATTGGTAAGGAATTTGTGAAATATCAGTTTTGTATCTCAGGATTATTGATATGGAATTATCTAGTATACTAACATGACAATATTGATAGGGTACCAGCTAGTCAACATTGGCCAATATCTCCTTACCCACTGCTAACAAAATCACTTGCTGCGGATAAGGCATGTTCATTTTAGTGGTGCAGCTCAAGGAGAACAGTTCTCATGCAATTATAAATATAGTGATTCAGCATGGATGGGTCAAGTAATTTATGGATAAAGAATAAATAAATATAAATAAAATAGTTTGCTTTAAAATAATAAAAGCTAGTTCACACGCACATGGGAAATACCCCTTTCACTGCTTCACTCACCACCTAAGACTGAGGTACTTACCTGCAATGAGCCACCGCCAATAATTTTGGTGCACAGTCCACAGAGTAAATTGCCCATTTACACTGTGGTTATGCACCATATCAGTAGTTGGCTACCTATGGTGTAAACATGTCAATTCTAATTGCTTAGAGAATTACTAGGACGTGTTCTCAGTTGACATTGGGCATATGCTGGGCACACTCTGTGTGCACCCTATTGCTTTGGTTCACAGTTGATGGGTAAAGCACACCCGCATTCATAGTTCAGACTAATGTTTGTGTCCAGTAACTTTTTTCATGTATTACACGGAAATTTAGTGTTGGGTATCTTTTTGACTCATTTGAGATTTTTGTCAAAATCACTAAGATAAATCAGGTCAGAAAGATTCAATCAAGCTTTCCTAGAGCATAGTGGTATAATGCAGACTGTCATCTAAGATACAGTTATCTTAACTTTGAGTCTTAGAACTGGGCAATTTACATAGAATAATCAGGACAAAGACTAATTCATTATGAGTAGGGTCAAATAGGAGATTGATACATTTTTTGGCTGCTTTATTAATCAGTCAGAACATTTTCATAAAGAACTCAGTGAGGTGGGTTTGATACTACAAGTCTATAAGCAGTGAGGTACATTCACATTTAATTGAAGCTAATAAAATAGAACAAATAAAAACATTATTTCTTTTAATGTAGAGACTTACAAGATCATTATCAAAAACTGTTGATCATCAATTTTTATCTACATGTTGTAAGGCTATATTTTTTCTTAGTCTTATTCAGAGAGAAACCTCCTACAAATAGTTTTACACTAACTTTCTCAAAATGCAGCAATACTTTCAATTTATTGTTAGTATTATTAGCAAAGAAATGATTCAATTAACTTTCGAGTTTCATGTAGCGATAGCTTCCAGGGTACATATATAGGAAAGATCTGTCAGGTCAAAAAATGTTTTAGGCTTGTCAGTTTTTCTCAGAAAGACATTTTCACTATCATTTTATGTAAATCATCAAATTTCCTTGAGTGACTTCTTCATTTTGACATGAGTGCTATCCAACAACATTGTGCCAATTCATCTTATACATTTTATATACATAATCTTAATCCCATTTACCCTAAAGGGTGTAGGGTTCATACATCTTATACATTCATAGTTTAAATATTCTTATGGAGAGGCGAACTTTACTCCAGACGCGCACAGCTTAAATTCTACCTGGTTAAAAATTGTCCGGTCGGTGAAGAATGTGAACGCGCCCCAAGATATATCGGATCAAATTAATGCTATTTACTATCCGGCAAAACAACGCATTCCCAATAGCGATGGATATTGTACAGGTCCGTATTTTCCTCAATGGTACTTGAAATAGAATGTAACACAATTAATGATTATTGTTGTTATCAAGCCTCAAAATGAGAATAAGTATATCATTTATATCTCGACTATATGTTGGCAATAATGTCTGCTATGTGTAGAGAAGATATCTGTTCAGAATTTGTCATCAGCAGGACTTCAAAATTAGGCAAGAATAACTAACGAAATTGTACGCATTGCGCAGCTTACATTACACTATGTAGGATTGCAATAAATTCGCAATCTGACAAGAAATACATGGAAATAGGTCGAAAATGTCAAAAAGTGTAGCCAGGCTATACAGTTTGGCGTTTATTGTCATTAGTCGCTATGTCAGTGAGCAGCCATATATTTTAATAGGTTAGCTACATATGCGGGCAATGTCGCCATGGCATCCTAGTGAGTGAGGACTCTTAGGGAGCCAGTACCAAGGAAGAGAATACAAAATTCACTAAGTAAATTGCTGAAAGCTAATGAAATTGCTGACTTCAGGAGTACTGTACATAAATTATCAGATGATACTCTGAATATTGAAGCTACATAGTTCTACTACACTTACATAGAGAATAGCTTTTCTTGCTATGAAGGCTCTCATGATTCTGGAAACGTAATTTTCTTTTATATAGAGCGGTTCTCCTTGAACAGGATTGTGCTTTTTTATACTTAACCTTTGCATAATATATTGACAAAAATTAAAACCAAAGAATTATTGTAGATGTTTGTGTCTCTTTCATTTTGCTTTTCTATTGATACTAACAGAGCAAATGATGAATGCTTTCAAGTACATATATATTTCTTTAACTTTACAGGTGAAGCAATCCCCACTCCTGAAAGTGTACCAGTAAGAAAAACATCCATAGTACAACCCTCAAAATTAACTACTTCTAAGTCTAGGTTAAGTTAAAATCACAAACTTTTGTTTTTGAAAATCTTCAGACCTTAACATATTAGCCATATAGAAATATTGTAAAACACCATCTTTATTCGAAAAAACTTATTGTTATTCATTCTATGTTGTAAAAACTGTATATTCAAGTATTTTTAACTGTGATTTTTCTGATCACAGTATTTACTTTTCACAACATCTGTTGAATCACCCATTTAAAAATTATACAAAACTGATTATCCAATAAGCATGTTATGTGATGAAATTAGAAAATTTAAGATTATTTTAAGGTTTTGGACGTGAAAATTTGAAACTAATATACCTCTTGAAATGTTTGATGATTAATGTTCATTCTTACTAGTCACAAAAATATATTGGATCAAATTGAAGAATGCAACAGAGCATTTGTGAAAAGGTTGTTATCAAAGGAAACACAATTATCACGTTTTTTAAATATTTCACATTAGACTGCAATGAGAGTAATGCCATACTAAAGGTCTTTTCACGGTTTTTGGCGAATCACTGTAAAGGTACAGGAATAACGGTCACATATGCATCTCCCTGGCACGTTTGTACATTACATTATACAGGTAGTGTATTCAGTGATTACTTAGTGCGAGGTCTAAAAAGCGAGAACGCGCGATTTCGAGTACGCTGTTGCAGCTCGGACGGCGCCGGCGGTGGAGTGAGGGCGCTTCAGCTGAGAAGGAGACAGCGTTGCCGTTCTTTAGCCTAATGCGCAATCTTTCGTAACACAACCTGTATGCATTCAGCCTCGTTTGTGGAAACTCATAGACTAGCTATGTCTCACCGCTTTGCAAATCTTCTCGTGAACGTATGTCTTCTACATTTATGCTTGTCACTGTCAATATGACAGCTTGCTTGTTGATCTTTAATAGAAAACGTAGCAACCCGCGAGGAAAATAATGATCCTGTGTCACCTATTCCCCATTCGTAGTCCATTTACGCCCAGACAAAACACAACATGCCCAAACGCAGATTGTACAGGTCCATATTTTCGTCAATGGTCTTGGAATAATCTAAAAAAATAAATTTATTATTTTTATAAAAAGAAGTGTACATACTTTTCACAATTCTTTATTCGCTGGAAGTACTTGAATCATCGTCCGAATGGTTAATATTAATTATTACAGGTTCAATTTGAATATCGATTATCGATCATATTGTCCAGATCCCACATCTTAGTTTCGATTGTCTCTTGAACGTGACGGATGCAATATTTTCAATCGTTTGCCGGAGCTCTGTTGTCAGCTTCATAAAACAAATTTTTCACGTCAGAAAATTTGAATGTTCTATTGTTTGAGGCCACATAGTTTTTTATATTTGCCCAAATCATTTCAATGGGATTTAATTCGCAGTGATAAGGTCTTATTTTGGTTTTTAGCCATTTCGTCAATAATATTGAAATTATATTTGTGCTACCCGACTAGATGGATAAGTTCTGCTTTTACCATATTTCCATTGAAACTAATGCCTTTTGTTAGGAGCCATTGTTGAATTTCTGCCTTTCTTGTGGACATTGTGGGATTTGTTTCTAGCGTGGTATACAGCATTATCAAGTACAATGACGGCATTGTCGTCAAGCTTTGGGAGCGTTTTGTCATACCATCGTTCAAATGAACTTCCATCCATTTCGTCATGGTAGTCGGTCGTTTTCTTTGACTCAAATGCCCATAGGGCAGTGTGCACAAAGCCATCTTCACTGTCAATGTGACAGAAAAAAAAAACGTTTTCCTTTTCCTGGAAATAATTATTTTATATAGTATTCAAGAAAACTAATAATAATACAAGCAGAATATCTAACAAGTGTTGGCTCCAAATCTACTAGATATAGCTAAGTTTAGTGTAGTCAAGTTTTCAGCTTCGGCTCATAGATTCAGTCTACTCGACACATTTTTACAACACAAAAAATGACGAATTGGTTAGATACACCTACCTGACGGATTCTTTAATCCATCTAAGAAGGATTGTCTTGCTGATTTAATTGTAGAGTCTGCCAATACTTTAGTTTTTGTATGTCCTGCATATATCCAGGTTCCATCCAAGTAATAAATCTTCCTGCCCTGGTCCCAGTGTTTCTCTATAGATTTTAAATAATTTCATCTCCATAAAAAAATCTCTTGGCTGTCCATCAAAATACTATTTCTGCCCCGTTTTGTATACTCAAAATGAAGTTCTTTGAGTAAACTTTAGAATGTGGTCCATTTGAAAGTAGGTAAGCCTTCATCACTATTAATCTCCCGTAATACTTTGTCTACTGTATCCAACAGCTTCGTGTAACGCAGCCTCTTGTGCGGTGGAGACAATTTTTTGTTTTTTTTTATATTCTTTAACAATGTTGAAAATTGTCTTAGGACATAAGGCTGTTTTGTTGGTCACACGTCTTTCAATACCATGAATTTCCATTTCAGGATGCTCTAAAATTTCGCTCTTATAAACGTTAAGGACAATTTCTTTTGCCTGAATATTTAAAAGTCCCTTTTTGTCACATTTTCCGGGAGGAGCTCACTGAAGAGAAGCATGGCTGAAGGAAGCATTGGGAGAAATATTCTCAGTTTCATCTACTGTATCTGTAGATGACATGCTAGCGTATAAACACACGCTATGTATGCACCGAATATGAACAGAAATAGCCGGCGTCGTCGTGCCGGCGATACCCCGAGCCTGATTTCTATCCTGTCGAATTCTGCACTTGTTCGTATTTTTATGGCCCACTGCCGCGCTGCATCTTTGTTGTGCCGGGGCGTAAATGGACTACGAATAGGGTATAGTTCATGTTCGAGTGCAAGAGCGAGTTGCAGTTGAAGATAAGGAGGGAGAGAGGTAAGTCCACGAATGCTCACGCTGTGTATCAAACACGTTTAATTTTCAAGCATGTACTCTCCAGTCGATCGCGATGCAGATCGTAATCGGCTTTTGAAATGTGTGGTGAAACGCGTTCTAGGAGGAAATCAAACAACACGTCAGACATTTGTAGGATTTCTTTTTAAATCTTCAGGCAGCAGCGGTGGCCGCAGTAGTAGACTCTTCGGTCTCCTGATCAGTCGCCGTGCGCTGTGCGGGTTCAAGTCCCGTCCCAGGAGAAATTTTTCTCTTGGCTATGGATGTTGTGATTGTCCTTAGGTGGTAGACGGTCTCTGACTGTCGAACGTGGAGGTACCACCCGGCGGATCTTGTAGGCGGAGCCAGAATGTGTGCATGTGTTTCCCCTGTATCCCCCTATAGCCCCACGGTACCCAATGGGTGTTTAGGCCTTCGTGGTAGTTGGAGTATAAAAAAAAGAAAAAAAGGGTGTTTATTTTTTAGTTAAGCGTATCTCAAATTTCATGAACCGGCCGATTTTTCTTTTAAATATCTGTCCATGTAACTCAACCTTTTCACCAGCAAACCACTCAACCTAAGCTCAAATGAGCATATCTATCAATCAGAAGCTTCTTCATGGTCGGCGTCATGGAGTACACTGAATCATGATCGAGTGAACTGCCCAGGACCCTCACTAGTCCACCTTTCACTCCTCGCTCAAAAAGACTCACGAAAGAATGATCAAAAGCGTGCCTCGCTGTCGTCCTTTTGCCCCGCGAGAAAAGAAGCTTATTAGTTGTGACGTAAGCACCAAAATGCGAGAAAAGAACTGTATAATAACTTAGGGATTCTAAATTGACACGTTAAGTAATGAAGGTCGGTCTATAAGGAACGGGATGTTAAATATATGGAAACGGGTAACAGTAACCCACTCAAAGTTTACTTTAACACTTTATTAAAAAATATACTAAGCATCACTACTATAGCTGAGTATAGTTTGCTGAACTGATTCGCAGCTGACTTCTGTATCCTGTAGTAAGAAACTACCATCTTCAATCATAATTCCCTCAGCAACCTGGCCATCTGGAGGATCCACAACCATCACAGAATGTTCTTCAGTCCCTTGACAATGTACTGTCACTACAGTCTCCTCAGTGCTCGCTTCTTCTGAGATAATGTTTGGTTCCTCAACCACAATCTTGAAATCTGTCGCGCTGACTAAATCATCGTCAAAATCGCCTGTGTACCTGAGAAAACAGTGTCAAGTGTAGATTGACTGAAAAAACACATAATTGCTTAATAATAATGCGGTTGTTTATTTGATATCAATGGAGAATGAGTTATTTTGGCGTCATCACTTTATCTTGCAGTCAGTAATGAATTTTATTTTTCTCAGTAGGGTTGCTAAATGAATAATGTGCATAAAATCGAGCCATGTAGCAACTTTTCAGAAATTATGGACCGATAAGAGTATGATGAAAGATATAATCAATCTATTTTCTTAAATGATATTATCTCAGGTAGTATATAATTATTCATATTGTTTATGGTTCATATATGGAACTAGTGAAATTCAGAGTGTGTGCCGTGTTTTACTGATTATACAGACTATTATAAAAAACTTGACGATGCTGCTTAGCGCGGTTTCTTAGATACTATTTTTGTTTTTCGACTGCAGTAATAAAAGAAACACAAATGATCGTTGGCCGTCAGACAAAACGAAGCAAAAAGTCAATGAAAATCTCTCATTGCCTTTTGAAATGTCGGTATCCACATTATCTTTTAACAGGCATATTATGTGCCGCTACATTGCTATTATTTTCTTCTGAATGTGCCGATTAGCTTGCTGATAGTTGAGACATAGATTTTTTTCAAGTTTGAGGAAAAACTATCATCATATGTATGGAAACCTCGGCGTTATGACTGATCCTGCAAAATATGAAGTGTGAGGTATTGATGTTTTCAAAAACGTTTAGCGCTTTCAATTGCTATAAGAAAGTATGAGAAAGAATGTAACATTCAAAATGTATGATTTTGCGATGGATTTAATGATTCCACGCTTTTTGAAGGTATTTACTTTGATTTACCTTTGGTTAAATCAAAAACATACAGCAGGTATTATAGTCGAACAAATTTGACAATAAATGATAAGAACAGCTTACCTGTATAAACCCCAAATCCACAGTTGATTTTCCATACATTTGATGTATCCGAGGACTTTTGAGAAGAACGTGTTGATATTAATTTTTGGATGAGTTTCAATGTACTGCCAAGCCCTCAAAACATTTTTCTTTTGAGTACTACTTAGATCTTTTGGATGATATTTTTTAGTTTGATCTGTATATACCATCTAAAAACAACAAATCCACAGTTGAATTTCCATACATTTGATGTATCCGAAGACTTTTTAGAAGAATGTGTTGATATTAATTTTTGGATGAGTGCCAAGTGCTCAAAACATTTTTCTTTTGAGTACTACTCAGATCTTTTGGATATTTTTTAGTTTGATCCGTATATACCATGTAAAAACAACAAATTCACGAATATTTTACTGCATTCGAGCTACGTGTCCAAAGAAAATGATTTAATTTTGGCTTATGAAATGCATTATTCAAAGTTAAATTTCATCCATCCGGCCTGTTTGAATGGAAAAATGCGTTACGGCACTAGGACATCGCTTTTAAAGCGAAACTCAAACATCTAAGGTGCCGTTCCGCACCGCGACAGGAGACAGCGACTCGCGACCGACACAAAAATGTCCCTGAAGTTTCCTAGTTATAAACTAATTGCTGAGCAAGGCAGTTCAAAATGTCAGTTAACGGTCTCAATGAACATATTGTACCGCCCTGGTACTGGGACCTTGAGTAACGATGAGACGCCTTTGCAATTTCAGCTTAGGCAACCAGAGTTACGAAACCGTGCATCAAGGATAATGTAGCTTACAGCATCATCGAGATGGATCGGCCGACATCGGGAGCGTTCGAGAAGCATCTATCGACATCGGGAGCGTTCGAGAAGCATCTATCGACGTCGGGAGCGTTCGAGAAGCATCTATCGACATCTATAAAACTTCAATAAAGCGTGTGTTTGCCAATTTCATGATAAATACCCAGGCGCCTCCACCAGAGGGAAAAAGTACATGAGTTTGTAAACATACTGTATAGATGATGCATACAATTTAAAAAGAAAACACTTAAATGTCAAGAAATGAAGCGTATGTTGTCGAAAACTTCGATAGTCTGTCTGCAAAATGCCTGATTCACAAGCTTCCACAGAATTTTTTGGATAGAATATCCTGTATCTCCAGAAATGGTGATCCAAATCCTACAATATTCTATATCAAACGTCTTTCTTACAAAGTGTCTTCGAGAATATACTAAGATATACAGGACACTCCATTTAAAAAAGACATGTTTGTGTTGCCATGTAGTCATGAATCACCCTATATATTCATAAAAACCTTGTACATATATGGGAATAAAAGAATGCAAATCCACCATTATTACAAGAAAAATGGCCTCAAAACAAATTTTAAAGTCCGAATATATACTCAGTGACATTAGAAGTGTTAACCCCAGAAAAAATAATTTCAACTTTTTTTTTTGGCAATGACGTAGTCTTGCATCAAGAATGAAACAATAACATTCTCACGAAATTTTTATGACTAGTAGTAAGAAAAAAAAATGTTGGGTGACCCCGCTACTGAATACACTCCTGTATACGTCTAGGCATCGACAAAATTCAGGCAGCAGCGTTGGCCGCAGTAGTAGACTCTTCGGTCTCCTGATCAGTCGCCGTGCGCTGTGCGGGTTCGAATCTCGTCCCAGGAGAAATTTTTCTCTTGGCTATGGATATTGTGATTGTCCGTAGGTTGTAGACGGTCTCTGTCGAACGCGGAGGTACCACCCGGCGGATCTCGTAGACGGGGCCAGAATGTGTGCATGTTGCATGCACACGTAGTCCCTCGCCAGAGTCCGTGTGGCGTTCCCCCTATAGCCCCACTGTACCCCATGGGTGTTTAGGCCTTCGTGGTAGTTGGAGTATAAAAAAATGAGATGATCGATGTCTGGTTGTGGTACCTCATTCTTAGCAACTCGCACTTCATGGATTAGCTGTGGCGGTTGGTGCAAAGTGGATAGTCTGCTCCCCATCATATCCCACACATGTTCGATGGGATTTAAATATTAACGCTTGCTGTAGTATGACGAGCAATATGGGAACGTGCGTTGTCTTGCTGAAAAAGCACGTGTGGATGGCACTCTAGATACGGCAGTAAAGTGATTTGAAGGACATCATCAACATAACGCGCAGCAGTCATATTGTCTTGAACAAAGAGAACGGATGATCGGCTATCAAAGGCAATAACCCCCCAAACCATTACTCCAACAGCCCTGTGTACATGCCTCTCAACAGCTAATGCAATATTACGCCGTTCTCCATGGCGGCGTCTTACTCTTCTACGATCATTGTGCGTACCTAGACCAAATCGCGATTCGTCGCTGAAGATGACATTATGCCATTCTGCCTCCCAATGTTGCCATTCTCTGCTCCAGTTCAAACGTTGACGTTAGTGGTCCGCAGTCAGAGGAAGCACTAACCGTGAACGATATAAAAAAGTCCAAAGGCTCGAATGCGGCGATAGCGTGTACGCATAGTAACAGGTCTGCCTTCTTCTCCAAACCGTTGGCCACCAATTTGACGCGTAGTAACAAAACGATCTCGTAGGGCCAGTTGTCTGAAGTGCCTATTTTGACGCTCTGTGGTAGGCCTCGGTGGACCAGTTGTCCTTCTTCGTGTTCCTCTGCCTTCTTCTATCCACACACGCATTTTTACCGTCATTGCAGTACAATTAACACGGCGGCCAATTTCGCGATAGGGCAAACCAACATCGGGATAGACAATAATTCTACCCCTGTCAAAGTCGCTAACATGGTGGTAATTTGGGCGTCCTCGAACTAGAAGCATTTTGTTATGCTTAACACTACGAGTAGTATATGAAAGGGCAATAACCAAAAAATATTTGTACTACTCAGCTTTCTTCACAAAAACTATGAGATAACATTTTAACAAAGGTAAACAAAAACAAAGATAAAAAGTTGCCGGTGTTGCCACAGCATGTTTTAAATATTTAGTCATTATGTTGCCCAAAAAACAAGTTGAAGAAGTTATTTTTTCTGGGTGTAACACTAATGTCACTGAGTATATTTTACCATAACTAGCCGAAATTTCAGCTATGTATACGTTAGACAATTGTAACACATGTAAGGAAATCCGCTGAAATATTTTCAAAATGGTGGCATTTCCAATTGTACCGGAAGTATATGCTAATTTTCTTATTTTAAATGTAAAATCCTGTATATTATTTAATTTTTGGAATCCATCCAGGTTTTAAATGCATTTCATGTCTAACATCCTATACCTAACTCTGTCCGTTTTTGAGATTTATCAAATTTTGATTAAAAAAAAAACAAATTCAGGTCGATAAAATCCTATGAAATTTTCGTATATTTCTGTCTTTGACGAACGATGTGTGTGTGGGTGATAGAAGAGGGTCCACTTTAATTGACTTCGATATTTTTTAAGAAAAAATGGTACGCCAATGGTTTTTTGCCAAATAAAAATTATTTTTGAATTCCCCGTTCAATTTAAAACAAATGATCTCTCTTGAATTGTTTTCCTTCGATGCGCCATTTTTGAGTAAAAAAATAAAAACCGTTCTATTGTGTAACTTGCAAAATTATTATTAATTTAATTGGAAAAATTAACATATTAGGGGTAATGAACAACAACAACTGACAACATAATCATAACATTAAAACCAACGAAGTGATTACAAAAATTGTTGAAAATGCAGTTAGTATGCATGCTTCCGCCCTCCTTCTCATGGAATTGCGCACTCGTTGAAATATCCCTGGAGTGTTTTTTATTTTATCACAAGCTGCAACTATTCTTTCTCTTAATTCCTCTACAGTGTTAATGGGACTTGTGTACACTAGTGTCTTAAGATAGCCCCCAAAAGAAATCTAAACTGTTGAGGTATGGGGACCTTGGTGGCCATTCTTGGGGCCCACCGCGGCCAATCCAACGATTTGGATAAACAGTTTGTAAATAATTATGAACCGCTACACTGAAATGCGCTGGTGCACCATCATGCATGTACCACATATTGTTTCTTATTACTAACGGAACATCATCAAGCAGCAAAGGGAACTGTTGTTGAAGAAAATTGAGGTAAGTCTGACCGTCAAGTCGTCCCGGCAATTCCTGCACATACGTTAACCGAAAATTGGTGTTGGAAATGGGTTTCGGTTACGGCACAGGGATTTCCTTCTTCCCACAAATGATTATTGTGGAAATTCTGAATGGCATTTCGAGAAAAATCACCTTCGTCCGTGAACAGAATCATTGATTCAAATTGCGGATTTTGTGTAATTTTTTGAAGATACCACTGACAAAAGGTCACACGCCTTGGAAAATCAATGGAAAGTAATGCCTGTACTCTTAAAATATGGTAAGAATATAACAAAAAATCCGCTAAAATTCTCCAAACAAGTTGATGGAAAATATTTAAGTGTCTAGCGATCTTCCTCGTACTCGTTTCAGGACGTTCTTCGACTTCGTGCAGCACTGCTTCCTCAATTTCTCACACTTAAGAGATCTACCTTCAGATGTTGCTTTTCGGACAGAACCAGTTTGAACAAGACGTCGAAAAATATTAAAAAAGGTTCGGCTATCTGGCAAAGCACGATCCGGATATCTCTGGTGATAAATCCGTCTGGCTTGCTCACTATTACCGTCGGCAACGCCATATACGTAATGCATTTCCGCCATTTCTGCATTTGAATAATTCACCATTAATAACAAGATTGTAAAAACTAAATAATTAAAAATATGTCAGCGAACAGATTTGAATAACAGAGACTTGTCAGATGTCAAATTGCATTCTTCAATTATTACATTAATTTTCTCGGACAATAGAACGGTTTTTATTTTTTTAACTCAAAAATGGCGCATCGAAGGAAAACAATTCAAGAGAGATCATTTATTTTAAATTGAACGGGGAATTCAAAAATAATTTTTATTTGGCAAAAAACCATTGGCGTACCATTTTTCTTAAATATCGAAGTCAATACCCGTACGCATGCCATTGTTAAAGCTAAAAATTATTTTTGCATTGAAAAATATGCAACTTTATTAACTTTCACTACGTACTAAATATTAGTGAAATATCTAAAGCGGTTGTGAACATATTAATTTCCATTTTTTTTTTCCTAAAATTTCAACACCCCGAGTTTTTGTAAGGAAACATTTTTGGACCATAGTTTATAAAGCAAACTAACATCAATTTTTCATATAGATTCACACCCTTAAATATTCGCATACCATTAAGGAACACTCTGTATAAGATATGCACTCATTCTGCTGTCGCTGCTCCGCGCGAACTGGCATACATACAGGTATAAACCCTCGGCATGAATGAACGCGCAATGGCTGTCTGTGCCGCAGCGCGCAACGGCACCTTTAGCTCGTCTTGACCCAGACGCCAATTCCGGCAATAGCGCTATTGTGACATTTTATAGAGGCTTTTCTTGGCGGAGAAATTGTGTAATCAACATACCTGTAAGAAATTTTCCAGTTCGATCAACCTCTCTACAACTTGAACCAAAGACGTCGACGAACTAGATATTTTGCAGTTCCTTCTGGGAACGACTAAAAGATCTCTCAGCTTCTTGAACGGTGCCAACACATTTTCGTTGATACGATTTTCCAGTCTGTGCCCAAAATGAATAATCACATACGTTATTTTGACCTATTAATTTGCAAAGACAAATCTGAGTGAAACCCGCAATTATTGTGCAATTCCTTACCATCAAGTCAACGCTATTGTAGTCGATTTTTCTAGAGCTGTGAGTTCAAATCGTAACAGAGTCAAACCTAAGGAGCCTCCATCTAGGCATGAAGTAATTGAGGACCTTTAAGGGTTGATTCTGTGAATTTAAAAGGTGAACCGAACATTTTAGGATTGCTTCCGTACACTGTGTGCAGGAATATACAACTGGCAAGCTAGCCCATGCTACGGTCAATAAAAGTGTCAATCCAACGAAGGTTGCCAGATCTACACTATTGCTTCCCTTAGGGTGACAAGCTATGATGCACGAGTAATTCATTTATGGGTGGTTCTATGAAAGTTGGGTAACTTTGTATTGCAGCAATAATAATATATTTATATCAAGCATATTCAATATTAATTACTATAGCGATTTAATATAAACATATTTTTACTTTGTCAGTCACTGGTTCTTGACATTCATGATTTTAGCATAAAAATATGTCCCAAAATCAGTCCCTAGCCACAACACATTTCCTTAGTTTCGCTTTCATCTCCTGGTATTTTTTATTTATGCTTATGAATTTTATAAATATAATTTTATTTAGTTTTATATCATTTCATAATACATTAATAAACACCTCTTCACAATTTAATAGAAAAATATGTTTTACAGAAGATTTTTTAAGACAACGGCACTCGAGCTAGACCAGCTATTTAAACTTTCTATAATTTCATCAAGTTATCCGCGAATAGACGCAATTCCGAGTTGGCTGTCTTATTATCAGTGCGGTTGGTGTCGTTTGCGAGAAAATACGTGCTCTGTCAGCCACCTCATCAGTTCCTTTTATCCAGTCCCAATAATTATTAATGTAAATAATTATTTTGATCGTTGTATTTGTTCGTTGACTGATTTGCTATTCGAGTGATCTTTTTCTTTTCGATTTTAAAGTATGTGCGATTGTGTTCCAATTCATGCAGGTGGAAACCTTGTCTTGGAATGCACGAGATGCGGTGTTGAAAAGCGAACCAACGATGCAATTGCAGCATTTGTGGCGATCCTGACCTTTCATTTCGACCTAAAATGGAGCGCCGTTAGGACCGATCCGGAATCGATTCTAAACAGATTCGACACAATTCACAAATGTGTGCACAAAGTAAAACCATTATTTGGGCGTAGAGAATAAATTGACGCATATTTTCAACATTCAACTTAATTCAAGGAACTGGTGTAACATATTGGCAACGCGGTGATGAGCTCCGCTATCCAGCCAGCTTCTATCTCTTTCTAACATATGTGTCTATACACACTTCTCTCTCGTACACTTTGAACTCAAGCCGTCAGAAAAATTTGGTTCCGAGTGTATACGCGGAAACTATGAGAGGTTCCCAGCGACATTCCCAGCGTCTCCCGAAAATCGCACAATAGTTACTCGTGTTTGAATTAATAAGGGAAAATTACTAATTAGGAAAAAATATGAAAAAGCGTGTTCTCATTTGTTTGCTTTTGTTTCACTTCGTAATGTGTCAGTGGGAGGATTCAATAAGTATCCACTTATTCCAGCGGTCGGCAACATTTAACAGCCAAGTGCCACAAATTGGCAAGATCAAGAAAAATACACTGCGGTATTGAAAATGAATTATATTACTTTATAAAAAATGACCCATAATGAAAAAATAAAAATAAACATGTTATATAACATGTTATATAACATGTTATATAACATGTTTATGTATTTAGTTACGTAATTGTATTTAATTATTTGGTGAGTATATGTAGGAATATTGTTATATGAGTATTGTACGACAAAAAAGTCGCGGGCCGCAAGTAGAGAGCTGGCGGGCCGCGTGTTGCCGACCTCTGGCTTATACAATCAGCCTCGTAACAAAAATAATAAAGTCCGATTATCATTTTAGAATATGGTGCCTATGAATGAACATAAATCCGATTGACGCCCCGACAAATCAAACACTAGCGCACGATGTTCAAATTCGCGCACTTCTATTGGCCAGCAGGCCATAAATGCCTGGGCGTGGCAGGGGCTAGCGAATAAAAGCGAAGGTCGGGTGCTCTTGCTTGTTTTGACGGGGCGTAAATGGGATTTGAATACATTATAGAAAGATATATTCAAAGTCGGAACTAGAAAATTAATAATGATTAATTTTCATATAAAGAATATCTGTGAGAGCATAGGAAAGCACCTAAAAATTGGGAAATTTACTCGTCGAATTGTTGAGTAAAACAAACAATTCGTAAAATACAGACCAATACGTGGGTAATAAGACACCATCATTAGTTATAAGCTAAAATTTCCTTTTTTTTGCATTAAGAATGTGATTTTATATAGTACACACAAATTGTTTGGCGTCAGTTTGTACTTGCCTACCATTTGGTGAAATATGTTAGTCGTATTCTTAGAAACTTACTGATCATCGGATAAAAGTAATTCAGACAGAACTACAGTTGACACGAGAAGTGTGATTTCAACAGTTTACAAGTGACGAACGCATTCAAGAGATATGTTTCAATACAAGGTGTTATTTTCCGCAGATCCATACGTATAGGTGGTTTTTTGATAAAGTACTAATAATACAATTTTTCTAAGGGCTTTTAAAAACGAAAAGAGTCTATTTATGATTCCCGCGTTCTTATTATTACTTCACAGCCTAAAACCAGACTGCCAGTTGCTTCACAACGCAAAAGCATTGCAACCGAAGACGAGTTGAGTTGAATTCGGGTTGCTTTTGGTGAGAATAGTGCCTGAACCCTTACCTATGACAACCGAACAAATCAGGCGTCACCTTCTCCATCCATTCAGCTTTGACATGATCAAATAGTGGTTTCATCAACTGATACATCTCTGAATCTTTAGCCTGACTCAGCAGAGTGTTCCAAACATCACTAATCGTAACCACAGGTAGCAAAGGCAACATTAACAACATGTGGTAAAAATGCCTCAAGTACGAGTTCGTCTCGAGATTTTTGCACAGATTGAGAACGCACACTTTCTTGTACAGGTTCTGCGTGTAGTAAAAGACAGAGCCCCCGACGCTTGCTTTTTCGTAAACTTTACTTAGTACGTGATACAAGTTTGCTTCGAAATCGGTAACTATTTCCGCTGGGCGTAGTTTTGGTGCTAGAATGTCATGGATGTACTGGAAGATTTTTTCGTAGATACCTCTGGTTTTCTTGTTGATGAGTATGAACATCGCCGGATAGTACTGAAAAATGTGCCTTAATTAATTATTTTCGCCTAATAGAGAGCATCAAAATTAAACATTAAAATGGATTAACCAAAAATTGATATGGTCCATGGCGCTAATACATCAAAATTCCGGTATTAGGCGCAATCAACTAGTTTAAAGGACAGTTGCTAGTTGTTTAAGGCAATGGGAGAAAAAATAAATTCTAGTACGGAAGTATTGAGGAGTAAATAACTCACGCCACTCGGCGTCCAAGAGACGTTACTATATTATTAACTCCAATGCGGAGCTATGAACGCAAGTTGGATACTTTTCGGGCACACCTCGTAACTACCCTTTGGTCGAATACAAGTTGTTTACGTTTTTTTATGGCGCTTATTTAGCCTATTATCACCAAAGCAAGCAACATGCTTCAACAATATGAACTTACAGAAAAATACACTACTCACACTATCACTTATCCACATCAAAACAGTTACCAACTGGAACTTAACCTGGTTGGACGTGTCAATCTTGAACGACGCGTCAACGTACAGCAGCTGACTAGAAGACAATTCCTCCACAATATCAGGATTAGCGAACAGCATCGCTTTTGAATCGCCTGACGAGAACCAGTTTTGGTAGAATTGCTTGCCATTGAGGGTGAATTGTAGTTTGTACATGATGTCCGTTTGTATATCCTTGTACAGTTGTTCAAACGTTGGAGGCTCGTATGTCGTATAGTTGCGACATACTTCAAAAATAACACTTCTCAAAGATATTATGTCTCTTATGGCTGGATCTCTGGAACGGAAATATTTGTTTCAGCATCGACAGTTAAGAATATGGCAACGGTGCGATTTCAATCTTAGGCAAGTAAAATACGTATACTATCAGCCCAAAAGTAACGTGCATAAGGTTATCAAATGTTTTGGATGTACCTGACACGTTACACTCGCTCATCACCCCGAAAACTCCAACCGACTTCCAGAAGGTGAAGGCCCACCCGGAACTTGTGACAAAACACCAATTGAATGTCATTCAATCTTCGACTGCTAAAGCTGCATCTAGATTGCTCATGGATCCGACACCTCAAGCGCACCATTTTGGATACAACCTGGCTTTGAGGTGGCGAAGCTAAATATCTGCGAATTTGGGAACCAGTAGCATATCCAAATGCCTTTGAGGTGCTGAAGTACCATTCCTTGCACTTCGTATCCATGAACAATGCAGATGCAGTGTTAGTAGTCAAAGATTGTCAACGGGTCCTCGAAGTAGTTTGTCGTTTATGCTCGTTTGTTGCTTTCGAGTGGTTGAACGTCTTTTGAGAGAGCAGAAATGCTTTCCCAAACAAATAAAATGCCACTTTCTAAATATATGTAGTTTCATTTCGTCATAAAATCATGGAGTTCTATCGGCATGAAAACCACAGGACGTTTCAGATGTTACATCAACATGTTCATACTCACATTTCACATATTTCTTCATATATACTTTTAAAATTTGTATCTTTATCACATTGCAGTTTGCGTGTCACAATATAAAGGAACATCTGTTTCTTTTTTTCAGCATCATCACCCCTACCATGGTTGTGTGGTACTATAAGTTTGGCTTTATCTTCATATACACCAGTGACCATTTTTTTCTGTAAAGCTTTGGCGCGACAGGTTGGCAAGATGCACTTCAAATTCCTTAAAATGATGTGCTGTGTTATATTGGCCCTATACAATGGCTACTTGTTGAGCCACTATCGCACAACCACAGAGGAAAATACAACTGACAGCCAGCCTGATAAGTTTGCTTATGTATGCCTAAATAAAAGTGGCCAAAGGAGGCTGTCGGATCTACAGTACTATTTGCCTAAGCATGAAACGGTATCGTATACGGTTTGCCACAGGACGGAAAGCAGATCTAGTTTATCATGCGACAAACTTTGCATAAGATATAACTGCTAACGCCACGGTGGACTATTAGTTTTTCTTTGAAGTGACGGATTGTCTAAGATGGTTGAAAACATCTATCCGTTTTTCGAGCGGAACGATTTTCAAGGCCCTTTGGCATCTTTGACATAGATCAGTTGTATCATCGTTGGCACACTGGGCGGCAGCGGCCAACTCCAACTCGCAGAGTGCAGAATTTCAGTAGACCACAATGCTTTCTGTTGCCGTCTCCGAGATAAACCTCTACCATAGTAATGATTGCCAATAAGCATGAGGCAGTGGTTATAGTGACAGAAAGTAAATAGATTAAACTCAGATTTGTGCTTCCAGATCAAAAATCCTGAAAACAGTAGACAGCAGTCTGAAAAGCGATATATTGTAAAAGTAAAAAGTGGATATTGAAATATGGTTGTAGAAAGCAAGCGTAACAGAAGGGGTGGTAAGCGCGCACTTGCTTCGGTCTGTGACAAAAGAAAACCCGGGAGCGGGTGGATGCTTCCAAAATACACCAGTTTGCTCCGATTTAATTGAAAAAATGGTAGACCTGCACGTCTATTAGGGATAGAGGCATATATGATTGAAATTTATGCGTTAAAGAACTGTAGAAATTGAGCGTTTTGCACTAGAACGATAGCCGAAAGCTCAAACTGTAGATATGCCGTAAAAATGGTAGATCCCGCAGGATTGATTGAAGTTAATGTTAGTTTGCATTTTCCCTCTATAGGCGGTAGGTTGCCAGTTATATGTGCATCCGTATTTGTACGATACTACTGCTCCAAGCGGCCAATGTACATGGTAAATAAGCTTATTCAGGCTTTAGTGAAAAATGAAGTCAAGTTAATGACAGCGATGTCCAATTTTGCTTCCGCTGGGCGGAGCTTGTGTGGTTAGGGGTCAAACTGTCAAAAGTATATGGATTTGTCATAAGTAGATGGGAAAAGGGCAGATTTCATAGAAAGCTATCTCTCACGACTTCACGTTTTGACGTCTAAACATGATGTCCAGCCTAACTAGCGCCACATACTTCTAGCTTTCCAGATGCTTGGTGCTATTCATGGAGTATTAAAATTTTTGAACATCCTTGAAATTTCCTTTTACCGTTACTACCCATTGCAGGACATAAAATATAGTAGACTGAATGTTGTAAAAAGATATAGATATGTAACATATTTCCGTCTAAAAAGTCGGAACGTTTCGTATAGTCTCCAAGTTATAAAAAAAGTCTTTTAAATGTAGTCAAAAATTTGTGTCAGGGCGATTTTAAAAAATTCCTAGTTGTTTGAGTTTCTCAAGTTCCTGATGCTCTATTCTGAAACATATTCTCTCATGGACTTATTTCATTCAGATTTTGTATTATAAATTAGACAAGAAATACCTAAAGTTAAAACTTGACGCTGCTAACATAGACTTCATATTAGAAGAAAAGTATAAAACAGTCTGTAAGAATAAGACCTGTACCTGAGGTTGAGACTACTCAACCTATACTCGAATAGATGACCATTTAAAAGACAGAATTCTATATTGTAAAGATAGACAATAGGCACCACTTCAAAAATACCAAAGCTTGGTTTGGCTTGACGATAGGCTGGCTTTTTAATTTTGGGCGTTCTCACATCTCGCATTATGGTAATTGGTTCAACGGGCAGCGATCGAATCAATATATGGTCCTGGTCCGAGGGACAAGTCACTTTTTTGATGGACCCATCAGCTAGAAAATAGCAAAGTTGAGTCAAAAGAGAATCGAAAAAATAACTGTGGTTCAGACAAGGATGTGTCAGAGAGCACTAATAGTTCCATAATAATTAGTAGCCAGCGAAATTGCTGCTATGCCTGTTGGTTAAAAATAGGTGAAGCTCTAATAATTTAAAACTAGGGTTGAATGCAGTACTCAGTTTGTACCCGGTACTCGGCAAGTATCAAGTTACTCGGCCGGGTAACTACTCGGACAGAATGCAAGACACACAACTTGTATAGGTCAAATGATTGCCGATGTGATGTAGAAAAGTCTGGGCTTATATAAATAGCCAAGGATATTGAAAAGTGACATTATGCTGTTTTTTTTACATTATGTAGGTTTTTCTATAACTTAGCCTAAAAGTCATGAGGCTTGTTATCAATCTTTGGCTCTGATGTGATGTAAAATCTGCTTCATAGTCAAAATGCAGGTTTTGACATTTGTTGGTAACGCGACGATGGTGTCAAGCAGATACTTGGAATTCTTCAAATCCGTAGGTTTCATACTTCTAAATAACCACAACAAAATTCGAGTAGATCGGTCAAGTGGTTTGTAAGAATGTCTTATTGTTTATCCCAAAACATCTGTTTTCCGGCCATCACTACTAGTTTATTGAGCAATATACAGGGTTAGTTCAAAGGGCATTTTATAGCAAAATACACGAATTTAGCATGAATCACAAACCATTCCGAAAGATAGATGTTATTTTTATGAGAAAAACAATGGGTTACGTTTTTTATTACTTCTAAACAAATTCAAACATTTCATATTTGTGAGTAACTGAACAGATGCACTACGATATTCAAAAAACATAAGTTATTTTACAGATTTTAAAACAGAGCGGATGTGTCTATCACCTTTTGTTGCGAAGAAACATTTTTTCAAGATTTCTTCATGCTCTTATGTATACATATTTAGAGCTGAAATTTTTCACAAATGCGCCTTAAAGTTTATGAAAAAAATATTTCATATTGAAATGCACTAAACTGTTTATAAAGTTAGCACGCAAACTGACACAATTATGTTGCGAACTGTCTTAGCCTAGTTAGTATATAGCTTGTGAACTGGATGATTTTGATATAGTATACGTCTGTTTTCAAAATCTCGTACGATTAAAATGAATGCGACTTCAAAATTTTGGAAAATAAACTCGAGAAAACGAAAAAAAAAACAATAGACAAATAATATCAAACAATTGTAGCGGACTGACCGTCTGAAAAATTAAGCAAAATACCCGGTATTGGTCCCTAATACTCGTAAATTATTTAAAGTTTCAACATTGTATCTTGTGTAGTTTTCGAGAGTATTCGCTTGACAGCACAAAGTACTCATAATGTGAAAAAGCATTTATTCCTTCAAATTAAAAAAAAATAATAGAAAAAGGTAGGTTTGTGGCATTGAGCCTCCGTCCTATGGTTCTGCAACCGCTACTCCATTCTACTACACTACGACGTATCTTGGTTTTCTGAATCTTTATACCACGATACCTCACACCGACAAATGTCAAACGAACGTTGTCAGCACATCAAATCTGTTACAAACAATTAGAATACTGTCGAAAACTACACAAGATATAATGCTGAAGCTTTAAATAATGTATTAGGGACTAATATTGAGCATTTTGCCCATTTTTCAGATGGTCAGTTCGCTACAGTTGGTTGATATTTATCTACTGTTCTTTCGTTTTCTCGAGTTTATTATCCAACATTTTGAAAAGGTCCAGAGAATTATTTTTCTTCGTAAAGAAACTGGATTTCGTGACCTACATATCTGACAAAGACATGCAGTGATGAATAATGTAGCTGTTCAGTGCATTTCAGAATAAAATATTTTTTTTTATAAGCTTTAGGGCTCATCTGTGACCGTGTAAAAATTACAGCTATATATATATATATATATATATATATGTATATATACACCTTAGGAAAAACCATTGTTATACATGGGAAATCATTTCTTGGCAACAGCGCAGACCTGTATCACGAATGAGAATAATAGGCAGATACGCTGTGTTGCCAATTTGAGTAGAGCTTCCCGAATTGTGGGGAATTTAGAGTTAAGTGTTGATTCATTCAAGCTTTTAATCAGCATGGCCTAGACGTTAGAACTTCATAAAGATAACATTGAAGCTGAATGCTGCTGGAGTATAGTGTTTCGAATATTCAAAGCGGAGCGGCACACTATACTCGTTCAATGAGTCATCAAGCCACAGTCTTTTCAACAAAGAAATTATTTTACGAAAATGCGTTATATTTTAACGATTTTGTCGTCACCAAATCTCTGTTTCTCAAAATGTACGTCTATTGTAGAATTTTCAGCAAACTAAGCAAGAAACGTCATCTAGTATTTACTCAACATTACGGATTTCTCGAAATATATTAAAAAATGTGACCTAGAGACCTAACTGCCCCAAGCTCTTTAAATATAACAGCTTAAACCAGGGTTACCAGGTGCTCAGTCACGTTGATTGTCATGTTGTACTGCGCAAGTCAGCAAACAATCTGGCGTAATAAACGTTAGGAATCATCAGGTATTGCCAGATTCCCGAATACCGGGCACCATAGTAACCGTTATAGTTGTCCTTCAAAGTTGTCAAATCGCCCCTATGGCGAAAATTCGCCACACTAGGCAACTGTGCTATAAACAAACCCTGTTTATCACTACTATTTGATAGTCATATGGTAGTTGTAGCCCTATCTAGCGGTCCATGATTTCTCTCAATACTGTTGTATCTCTACTGGCAACAAGAATAGGGATTACAAAATCATTTATACAACAATATATAAACATGAAAAATATGATTTGAACCATGAAACATTAGTACAATTTTAATAGTTTGAACTTTTTTCATTTTTGGAATACCCTTATGTGGAATCCGCAGCTATTTTTCCCTAAATTTGGGTATACTTAGATTTCTTAGAAATATGACATATTGGTATCGGCAACTCTGCGAATGGGAGAAACAAATCGCATTTGTTGAGCGCATCCGTCTAAGCGGTAGGCGCCAGCGCCCGTTCTGCCATCTCTCTCTTTTATCACTCTTCTACTTTACCCCGTTGTCCGTCACACTCCGACGCTGCCACATAGGATCCTACAATCGAGTGTCTTTCACGCACCTTATATATATATATTTACATCTCCATGTGGATCGGTAATCCTTTCAATTCCCAGCAATAAGTCACCTACCAGAAATATCGAATATATATCAAATTTGATTCGTGTATATCCAACAAAAAGGCAAACTGATCCAGGATCAGCTCAAAAAACTGTACATTAACATTTCGGATTTTCATATAAAGTCCGCTATATAGGTCTACCTTTTAAAAACCGTAAGATGTGTCCTCTACCGGAATACCCTTCAGATCACAAAACGGCATTCGGTCCCCCAGAATACTCAAATTAACTAAACACCAGTAGATAAGTCATCCGTGCAGTGGTGCCAAGTTTCATTTATTTCTCTTTACATAATACTACTGAAGTCTCCTAACTTGGACTTGTATTATTATATTATTTTTCAAGGATCTCCAATGGATATAACCAAAATTCTTTCCAGCAACTTTGAGTACACTATTTGCTCGATTAAGACTATACAAAACGTTGCTAGCATACGACAGAAGGATGCCCAACGTTTCGTAAATTATAACTTACCTATGCAAAAATTATCAGATCATCGAGCAGCCCACACAATCAAGAATACTTTTTTCTATTACATGTCCAGGAGGTTGTATGAACTTTCAGATCGAGCACTTTGCTTTTCCAATAGCCTATGTCGTATCGACGACATCCTAATGATGATAAGCTTTAGACGCGTAATTTCCAAATCTGTGATATTAGCAGTTGAAATACTTCCCTGCCCTCCGGTTCGCAAAAAACAGCATTGAGTATCCTAAAATACTTGAATTACCTAATCACTATACTGAGCCTTACAATCATGTGACGTTATCTTTGGATAAGGAAATCACCATTCATGTTTGGTACCATCTATCTATGAGAATATTCCTAATCTTGAAATAAAATCGTATATCAACGATTTTCTCTAATAGCTCAGACTTAACCATATAGTCACGCCAACCAAAAGCCATATGATACAATCGTCCATCAAAATACCTTCGGATTCACAAAAAAACAGCACTGAGTCTCCCAAAATACTTGAATTTACTAAACCCTGCTAGATCGGTCTTCCGTGCAGAATAAATACACTTCTACCCTACGATTCACAAGAAACCAGCACTGAGTCTCCCAAAATACTTGAATTTACTAAACACTGCTAGATCGGTCTTCCATGCAGAATACTCTTCTACCATACGATTGACAAGAAACCAGCACTGAGTCTCCCAAAATACTCGAATTAACTAAACACTGGTGGATCAATCTCCCATGAAGAATACTCTTCAATACGCAAACCAGTGCTGAGTCCTCCACAATACCCGAACTAGCTGAATGGCGTACGTCTGACGTCAGATCGGTCTCCCGATCATTTTAATTCCAGTCAATAAAGCGCGTGCGCCCGGGGATAGGGTTTGTCGGTTTGTCTAAGATCTGAGAATTCATTTTATTGGCACCAATCGTGCTGGAAGGACGTTCAAATCTGTTGTGTATTCAAGAGTGTGTCTGAAAGGACTGTTGAGGTAAGTATGACTTTTTGAACTCTTATGCAATCGTTAATAGGATATGATGGTAATATGACTGTATTACTTACATTTAATGGAAAAGCAATGAATATTGAGTAGCGTGAAGGATAAAACAATGCTGTTCAAAAGGTCAACCCCCATAAATTTTACGCCAAACTTTATCTAATCTTGTTGGTTTAGTTTTGTATAGGTGATTCTTGAATGTAAAGCTACAATGTTTTTTTTTTCAAGTTAAAGAACAGGGTCAAGTAGATTGAGTGTGACCATACATCACTGAAAATTTAAAAATAGAATACTTCAATCAAAGCTCATTTTGGCTTTTTTCTAGCTGCTGCTTTACAT